TTCTCGCAATTTTCGTTTGCGACTCGTGCCGCTGTCATATGGAAAAGCTCTGATGTCGGGCATTTCGAATGAAGTTAAGTTCCCATGAATGTGTCAGCCAGTGTGTTTTGTTTTCCCTCGTTATTGTCCCTGCCGTTGGCTCGCCATCAGCCAGAAGAACGTACAGGACAAAGCCCAATGACAGTCGGTATACATGCTGCACTGGCTATCCTTTTGTGGCCTGACGTCCCTGACGGATGTTGAAGGGGCATGATAACCAAGTTCTGATATTACCAACCAGCCAACCCACGCAAGCCACTTGATTCAGGTCAAAGGTGGAGTGATAATGAATGCCATACCTATTGCTCGCTGGAATTGATCACTGCTGTGTTCGACTCATCCTATAAAACATGTATATTGTACATATTGCTGTGCACCGCCTTGTGCATTTCGTCCGGAATGAGCAACAAAAACTTGACAAGAATGGATGAAAACATTTTCCACTTGCATTGTTTCTCACTGGATGATGATGCCCCACTTTGCTCTGTGTTTGAGTGTGCGTGCCGCATAAATTTCATTTTGAACAATAATAAGAAAAGTTGGCTGCCGTTGGCCTGCAGGGCAGGCTTCCAGTCAGATCACAATCAAACAAGTAAAAATGGCAACAATGGCAACAAAACAAAAAAAAGTGTGTTTTTGTGTGTGCATTAAATAACGAAAACACCGAAACAAAAGTGTGGCAGAAAAAAGAGCGAAAAAAAGGCGGCTGCTGACAGCAGGCCATGGCCATGTTACGTATACGCACCATTGAGCGGCCAAATCGCATTACGCACTCGCCATGTGGACGATGCAACCTGTATGCAAAAAATGCGAGCAGCTTAATTACATCGCCCAGCAGTACTGACCTACATTGATTTGGCATCGACAGGAAGAACATCACAATTATGCAGGAATTAAGGATTCCAAAGAACATTTTGCACCGGGTTGGAATGGTTTTCATATGGGGACTACCATGACGGCATTTGCATTCTGTTGAGGCCGCAACTACGTGACTTGCCCTGACGTGCGACACTTTGACATCTGAATAGAGCTAGGGAAACACCCAGGATAACTCTGGCTTCGCCTCTGTGGCAACGTCATGCTCCTAAGCCAATTATGAGGAACAAAGGCTACCACATTCAACGGCTCCACGTGTTGCTCGGGCATAAACAATTTTTGAACGAATTCTTTCAAAGAAAATACCATTAAGGCCAGCGTAAACACTGGGTACACACAAAAAGTATACAAAAAAACTCATTTCTAAATCACTTTCGGGGGATTTTACTTACAATTTTTCGCTGATCATCAGCATCGACGTCATGATGAGCAGACCAAGAAAAAAGCAAGCAGTTTATTGCGTATTTTTAGGTCAGAGCAAACAGTGTGTTCAATATGGCACGAGGGCAGTCCCGATTGAAGTATCTTCTTACCTCGCTGCATGTTTACCCCACAGTGTTTGCCTTTAATCGCATCTGCAGTGAGTTTTCCGACTTTGATGAGTTTGTTCGCCTGGGGCCAGCAACCAAATTTCCATATCAATTAGCAGCCTTCGCTCTGATCGAACATTTCCGGGTGTTTGCTCAGCCCCGCCGTATCTTTATCTATATCTGTATCTTTATAAATAAAAAACTAATGAAATCCGATTTTCCGTGCCACTTTATGGCTTTGCCCGCCATTCAGTTACTGGCCCATAGAGCAAAGTAACCGCAGGAGGAGGCCACAGGACATGTTGCTTCGACGACACTGGGCAGCCAAACTTAAGTTTACTTTTGGCCCAGAAAGTTTCTATTTTGCTGCTTTACTTTTGGATGAGAAATTCCTACTTTTTGTTTATGATAAGTAAATAGATTCAAACGTTTTTAAAAATGTAAAAGGCCATTCTTTTAAGACATTTATTAAAAATCGAAGTTTTATAGTTTTCTTACTGTTTTCGACAAAAAAAAATAAAATTAAATGGAATACGTCTTTTGCACTTTGTATTTAAAATGCTGAAAAAATTGTCTATATAAATAAATTTAAAATATAGGTAACCCTATGACTTAATTTCATCATCATTTAATGAATAATTTTCAGGATTAAAGGCTATTGTTTCACGTTGTTTAATGATATTTTCCTGCTGCCTAGTGTAATCGACCTCGTTGCCAGGTTGTTTGTGGCAGTGGGACGGTGGAAGTGTGCTCCACTTGGGTGCCCACATCATCTTTTTGGGGCCAGAGTGTTTGCGACCAAATGGCCGTACTAACGGGTAAGCGGTTCGGGATCCGGCCCAGGTCACAGTTCGACCGGGTTCAGCTGGGCTCCAGCTGGCCGTTGGCGAAATTGCATTCGCCCCGTTGCCGATAACTTTCTAATGAGTGGTAATCGACGTTCGGCTGCATGTGTGTGTGTGTTTGGGGCAACTGTGGGATGGCTGTGGGTGTCGAAATTCGGGCCAGACCGTTTTTGTGGCATCCTGCCGTTCTTCAAATTCAATTTGCCTTTGTGAATCGCCGCAGATGGTCTGTACAGCGGTGCGCTCAGGTGAGAACTGCAGGGACCTTGCATATAATTATTAAATTTGTCAGTGGACAGCAATCGTGCTATGAATAATGCCCCAACACAATTTGGCTTAATGAAAAGCGTCATATTTATTATGGCTAATGGCCAAGCATAGTGTTCTTCGTATCGTTTATATTTTCTTCACCTTAATTTTGATGTGTAATACCATTTTTTATTAAATCAACTAAATCCAATTAGGACCTGCCTGCTACACAGTTACTTAGCTTACGATGCAAAATATATACATGCCAATCCAATTAAAAAGGCTTGTAGTTACTGGCCAAAATTCACCAGAACCAAATGGGATTACTCAGGGCTAAAAGTATTGAAAAAAAATAAAATACATTCGAGAGGCCGAAAAATGTTGGTCCCTGTCCAAATTGTCAAAAATATCAGAGCTAAATATAAAATTCTCCCAAAATTCAATTAGGAGCGGACGTTTTTATTTTTTCTTCCACAGTCATAGAAAATATTAAAATTTAATATTTAATGGGAATTCTATAAGCAGTAAAAGAGAAAACCGCAATATGTGCCGACAGCTCGCACTGTGAAAATAAAACGTATTTATGAAGCAACGGAACAGTATTTTATTTCCCTTTTTTTGTCAGTTTTTTTGTCCATGCTCATTTATACATCTGCCACTTGTGGCTCACTCGAATTTTCGTTGTTTTTGCAACAAATTGAGGGTTATTCCCCCAACAAACTTACAATTTCCGTTGGCTATTCACACAATTTGGGAATCGAGTTTTTTTTTTTGCAGCTCCAGGTCCCGTTCTGACCCAATATTTTCAGCTTCAATAAACAGGGTTACTTGTGTGGCTCAGCACCCGATTGCCTAGCATTTTTGTATGAGTGGCTGTGCGGCTTTAGAACAGTTTGTCTATACTGAATATAGAGTCGCATTGGTGAATCCGTTAGCATACTTTTATGGGCAACAGCTGCAGCCGGAAGGACGAAATGCATTTCCCAAATTTATTTTATCTGACTCACATTGGCTCTGGTTTAGGTTTTTCCGCCTGATTTACATCAACATGGGAATTTAGCAATCACCACAACATTGCTGGATCAAAATATGCAAACAGTTCGGTAATTATTACGTGCAAATTCAATTGGGTAACTCGTCAATGAAGGAATTTTCAATTACACATGACTAACATAAAAATCCGATTTCCAGCCTGATAGCTAGGTTTTAGTTTGGTTAAGGGCTCAAATGATTTATGATCCAACATAGTCTATGAGTTATTTGCTTTTTCCATTCCCTTTTCGTTTTTCTCTAATTTCCGTTAGCTGTTTTCTTGCGGTTTCAGGTTTTTCCTTTTGGCTGGTAATGTAATGCTTTTCTCTCTCTAATTGGCTGTCTTCTCGTTAACAGAGAGCAACGAAGGAAAAGTCTGCCAATAATTGAAATTTCACAAATTTAATAGAAATAACACACAGAGATAATAATTTTTAATAATTACTGAACATCTTCTTTAGAATAATAGTAACGTAACAATTGGAATGATTCAGATGTTTCTTGAAATAACAAAGACGGCAGAAGAATAAATGTGAAATTGTCATTCACTTCTTCCTTAAAATTCTGACTAATTTATTTGTCTTTTAATCTATGACGTATGGTGGTATCTTGTTTACAAAAAACGGCATGCTCTTATCTAAGGTGAAAAAATGAGACAATGAAATTCATGAAAGACATCTGTTCGGACTGACGCAATTGATTTATATTGAAAAGCAATTCCGAACATTTGCTTCAGTCGAATTCAAACGGGCAAAGTGAAAGGACGCAGTGGGAATTATTAAAAATACAATTTGGATAGAAAAAGTTATTTCGATTAAACAGACGGTTAGTTGAAGCTTAAGAAACAGTGTCCTCTGGAATATTAAAACGCTAAAGTGCTTAGCCATTGTCCTTCGGTGTCGAACAAGTTTTTCCGCTTGGAATCGCTCAGCGAGCACGACCACATTGGGTTATGGCTGGAAGCTTTTGACGTGCTCGGGACCAGAAAAAGAATAAATAAAGAATAAAAAATGGGGAATTCAGAATAAAAAGCAAAACAGAAAGCCAACGAAAGTAATTCAAAAGTTTGCCACAGAGCAGAACAGGCAACAGAAGCTAAGAAAAATTGAACTCAACTTGATGTCTAATTTAAAACAAACCCCAAAACCAAGTCCGGACAAACCAAAGCCAAACCAGATCCTGATCCCGATCCGAGAAGCGAAAACAAAGCCGCAACAAAATTTACAACTTCAAAACTTTGCCATCGGCGGTTGTCCTGCCCGATGTGTGTTTGTGTTTCTGTTTGAGTTTGTGCGGGGGGTTTAATTTGATTTCTTTTTTTTTTTTGGACGAGGCTGGGTCAAGTACATAATTGAGATTGAACTGCGAAAACAAAGTTGAGTCGGGGCCGTGGAACTAATGCACAATCTTTGCTTGCTGCCAATTGCAGACCCGCCAGCAAACCGAAGGAGATGAATCGAAGTAGCCGCAGACTTCCGGCACTCTTGTTTGGCCTTCTGGTCTGCCTTGTGGCCCAGACCGCCGGTCATCTGACGACGGAGGACGAGAGCGACTTGGCCATCATTCCGCCGGATGCCGACAATGTGGAGGTTTGTGTGGGGTCCAGCGTGAAATCCAATCGGGCATTCCCTTACTCACAATCTCTTTTGGCAGATTCATCAAGTGAAATTCGTGAATGGCGTTATGCAGGAGGATCATCCGGTGATCATGTACAAGGAGGATTTCGTCAATGAGGATTATGGTAAGTTTGCTGCACGATGGCAGCAAATAAATCGTGAAATGGACAATGAAAAGTTCAAAAGAGTTCCCAAATCTTGTTTACTTAGAGAGCATTTTTGACACTTCCAAATCAAAATCTCTCAGGGGTTAAACAAAAGCTAATTTCGGTATTTTAAATTAACCATTTGAATTTTTTTAAATACTATATTTTTGGTCATAATATGGATTATACACTTTTGCCAAACTGCCAGTTGTTTAATAAAATTGTAATTTTCAAGTAGACCCCACTAAGAACGAGACAAGTCCTGGACGAAACAAGAAGCACAAGCGAACGCATCACCATCGTGCGGAGCTACAGACGGAGAACGAGGAGGATAGGATCCTTTTTGATGTCCTGCCGGACAAGCCGATCGTCCTCTCGGACGACCTTAAAGCTCTTCCGGTCAGCCAGGTAGAAGCCGCCCAACTGGCGGAACCTGTCAAGCTGGGAAAGCTACCCAAGAAATACCATAGCCGAAAGCGACGTCAGGCCGAGACAGAGATGGTATACGATTTTAGGAACGGTCATTACGTTTATTTGCCATACTTAACCTATAAACGGTAAGACTGACTTGCAAGTCTCAAATGAATGGAGAGAATAATAAACCCCTATTTGTCCTTTTAGACCCCCGGTGCCGGGAAAACAACCGGATAAGGACAGAAAAATTGGACATCCTCCTCAATATCATCCTGCTTCGACCACATATAGTCAACAACCGGATACGAACAGAAATGTTGGACAACCTGCTCAAAATTATCCAGGGCAGACAATAGATATTAATCAACCGGATCAGAACAGAAATGTTGGACAACCTCCTCAAAATTATCCAGGGCAGACAATAGATATTAATCAACCGGATCAGAACAGAAATGTTGGACAACCTCCTCAAAATTATCCAGGGCAGAACAACGATATTCAACCAGGCTCCGTTGATTCCCGTATTGGTTTAATTCACGACCCAAATCCAGAACTAGCGGATAACTCTCTTTATAACCAGACCCGTCCTACAAAAACGCCCACTACTACACCATCGTTTATAATAATCGACGGTCCGAAAGGTAACACCTATTTATAACACATATAAACCGTGATACTCTTTACTATTTACATGCTCTTTAGTTATATTCAATTCTAACCAATTGTATTCTTCACAAATAAAATTAGTTTTATCATTTTAAACGTGATGCCCACATCCCATCTCAACAATATAAGTTTAATATAAATTTAACTTTTAAGATTTTTGTGGTGCATGTTGGTAATAATTAATTTGTGCAGGACATACTTATTTCTAAATGTTTGAATCTTTATCAATATCTGAATTAATTGAATAATAACTAAAATTAATAACTAAAAATGACTAAAATATTTAAATTTGTCATTGTTATATCATTAATATTCAAAATGATAACTGTAGTTAACCTACAAGTGTAAACTTATTTGTATCTGTTTTCTTTATTTTTAGTTACGAAAAAACCCGACATCGAATTTGGTGCTGATAATATCAATGATTTCAATGGTAGGTGACTCCTTGCCCAAGTTTTATGTGCACTTAGAACCCATTCTAACCGTAAATAACACAGGGCTTTGCTACATAACCGCTCTTCAAGCAGCTGTCTCTGACTTTCGCTTTTTCTTTAACCCGACCTGACCTATTACAATTTTTGTGAATTAATAGCGGCAAGAACAAGAACAACCACCTACAGGCCCGTTGTGAGGCCGAACACAAGGTCGCCCAAGGTGGGACTACCGACTCTGAGACCCAATACAAGGCCGGCCAACCCACCGCCACCCAGCGAGCCCAAGGTCAGCAATTGTGTGTGGGCGATCGTGTACTGCTGTTCCGGCGACTCCAAGAAGATCCGGTACCAATGCTTCGAGGAATTGGGCTGCCACGGCGCCTTCTGGGATATTAACCCATGCGCGGATGAAACCGTCCGTGACGGTGCGTTATTTAAGGTCCTGAACGCCTACCCGTAGTCGGCGGACCGATCACCGTTGCTTCCCGGTGCTACTTTCAATAAACTTGCACTAAATCTCAGAAAGCAAGCATAATTTATATTACGCATATTACGTTTTAACTATTGTAAATATATATTTCCTGCTTAGCGATGAACAAAATCCAAAAAACATTTTAGTTGCATTCAAAAAATTCGATCATAATAATACTTCAAAATCATAAATAAATCTATCAAGAAACATTTTAGATGATATTTAAGAGTACTGAATAACTAAGTAGATCATACCCATTATTCCTGGAGGTGTATTGTTGTCGAGCAAAAACCAATGTACTTTAAAATCTGTACCCACTATTTTGTAACTAAAACAGTGAGTAACGGGTATCTCATAGTAGGGGCACTCTACTATATCATCATTTTTTGCTTACCTCTCTTTATCTAAGCTTCTTTAACCCGCTGAAGGACGTAACAATCAAGATTTTTCAGCTAACACATGGTTTGGTTTCCAATTACTAAATATTGTCTCATCTGTGTTGTCAATTATCGCATCAATTTCATTTCATTCGAAAATCAAATTAAAATTTTCCAATTTACTCTTGCGACTTGAATATGTTTGTTTAATTGGCAACCGACCAATCGACTGTCCAGACATGTAATCCACTCACAATTCAATTGCAATTACACAATCCCTTCAGCCATATCAATTAACCGGCTGCCAGGAGGCCACTGGCCATTGATGGTCTATCTTTTAATTGGCCGTCTATAACGTACCGCAGAACACAATTTACACCTGCAAATCCAATTGCACCTCTCCTGGCAGCTCAGTTGGAGTATATAATTATGTTGTTCCTTGTAATTGGCACATATACACAAATAAACAGGTCTTTGATTAAGAAGTGCAGAGAATTGGAAATATTATTGACTTGTCAATTCAGAAAGTAACATTTAGCAAAACAAATACACCAATTATTAAACGTTGCTCAAAAACTAAGTACTGAGTTTCAAATTATTTCTGCTTTTTGGAACTTTTAAATTTTGATTGCACTTTAAAGACTTACTAGCTTTCATCACTTTTCCCAAACTGTTGCTAATCAAAACAAATGTATATGCATAATTTCAGTTTAATAATCGAATTAAGTTAATCTAAATATACTGGCACTACAAAATACTTTTCAAAATAAAATGATCTTGAAGATTCAAATACTAAATACCTCATATTATCTCACTGTGTGGTTAACTCAACTGCTGCTGCTGCTGCTGCTGTTCATTAAAGGCCGAACTCCAGGCCGTTGTTCATTAATTGAGTGAGCGAACAGACGCGCTCAATTGGTGAAAATACACACAAACATAACCGTACACAATCCCGCCCGCACATTGCACCCACTAACTTGCACTTTGGCACCATAGTTTACATGCTGACGCCTCTTAATTGCAGCAGATCTCGTGCCTCTAGCCGGCTTCTCGCCCCCGGCCTTCGCCCCTCCGCCCGCCACCGCCCGTCGTCCGTCCTCCAGGGACAGGTAAGCCGCCGCATCTGGTGCCCCCCCAAGACCGCAATACCACCACCGCCCCTCTGACATATACCACATTCCTTGCAGACGCCTTCCGATTTCCCCAGGAAGTTGGCTACCAGACGGGCAGCAATTGCCACCGCGCTTCGAAATATTGCTGTGGCCTTAAGAATTTTGGATCCCAGTACGATTGTTTCTACCATTACGGCTGCAACGAAAGTATCTCGACCATTATATCAAGCTGCTCCTGAAATGCCCCGGAATAATCTACCATGGAGTCCATATATGCATTGCAAATCTGTCTGTGACTAGAGCCTCGCGTTTCGAAAGCCCCTTTTTCACCCTTTAGGTTATATTGGTATATATTAAATATCATTTCTAGTCGGCTTTGCCAGTGGGGCAGAGCCTAATTAATAAAGATTTATTTCTGTCTCAAACTAACTTTATACGTTTAGCTGTTTTATTTTCAAATCAATTATAAGGCTGGCTTGGCATGGCTATTTTCCATTTTGGTTAGCTTAAGCGTAATTCATTTTAAATTTACCTTCGATCAAATTTATATACTTTTCCTTAACTGTTTTAATTTGAATTTGACCTGCAGATTTAGCATTTCCTTGTTTTAATTAATTATTATTTAATTAGTTTTAATGAAAAAGAAATGAATTCAATTTTGAATAATTACCAATGAATAATTACCATTGAGTGCTAAGTACTTTACTGCATTTCGACTTTTTAGAGTTCATGGATCTAATTTCCGAACCATTGATTGACCAAAATGAAGCTTTTCTCTTTTGTTAATTTATTTCATTTTCATTTGGAGCCATAGCTCTTCACCGCAACACCTCCGGAGAAAACGTATTAGGAAACAGTTCGAAGCAGGACAGCGACAGCTTGACAACAAATCTCCGCTGAGTTAATTTGCCAGCCTAATGTCATTTCCCATGGTATTCAGGGACCCAATCACAGGACGTAAGGCGATTACGCAGTGTCCGCCCACTGCTTTTTAAAATTTAAAAAAAGAAAAAAGGAGAACCCTTAATATATATTTTTTTTATGAGAAACCCCCCCATTTATTATTTTAAACACTTTCTTTTTTTTTTTTTTCTTTTTCTCTTTCTTTTTTTTCTCAACCTAACCCCCCTTTTTTAAAATAAATTATTAAAAAATTATACACCCCCCCCCCCCCCCCTCCATTTAAAAAATATAAAAAAAATAACAACAAACCCACCCAAAAACCAAAAAAATAAATAAAAAAAAAAAAAAAAAAAAAAAAAAATATTTTTTTTTTAAAAATTTAGTATATATTTTTTAATTTTTATTTAAAAAAAAAAAAAAAAAAAAAAAAAAAAAAAAAAATAAAAAAAAAAAAAAAAAAAAAAAAAAAAAAAAAAATAAAAAAAAATAAAAAAAAAAATTTAAAAAAAAAATTTAAAAAAATTTAAATTTTTTTATTTTTTTTTAAAAAAAAAAAAAAAAAAAAAAAAAAAAAAAATAAAAAAAAAAAAAAAAAAAAAAAAAAAAAAAAAAAAAAAAAAAAAAAAAAAAAAAAAAATAAAAATAATAAATTTAATAAAAAATAAATTTTTTTATTTTTAAAATATTTAAAAAAAAAAATAAAAAAAAAAAAAAAAATATAAACAAAAAAAAAAAAAAAAAAAAAATTAAAAAAAAAAAAAAAAAAAATTAATAATAAAAATAAAAAAAAATAAAAATAAAAATAAAAAATAAAAAAAAAAAAAAAAAAAAAAAAAAAAAAAAAAAAAAAAAAAAAAAAAAAAAAAAAAAAAAAAAAAAAAAAAAAAAAAAAAATTTTTTGAATTGTGTTCAGTCGAAGGGATCTGCGTACGCCGTTGTTCTTTAAGAATTTTCTATTTAGCAGGGGATCCACTACACTTGGACATTATTGCAGGGCTTAAAGTCAACAATACATTGTCCTTAAAATCAAACCTTGTTGTTAATAAATTAATTTTCTCAAACTTTTTTTCTAGTAAGCTAGTTAAGTTTTCTGGTTTTTAATGCTCAAAAAGACATCCGATTTCAAAGTGGGATACATCTAAATGATTGTGGCTTAATTCTCTAAAAATCTGTGTTTAAATCTTGGGTTTTATTTTTCTTTTCAAATTTTTAAAACTGGCTTTGCAGAAAAGTGACCAAAAACTTGCACTTCTAAGCCCATAACTTTTCTTACAGACGTCCGATTTCAAAAAGGCAACCTTCTAAATGATTGTGTTTTAATTTTCTAAAAACCTGTGTTCAATATTGTTTTAATTTTTTTTTGGGTAGATTTTTTGTCATTTTAAGTATGTAACCCCTTTCCAAATTTTTAAAATATGGATTTGCAGAAAAGTGCCCAAAAACTTCAATCTCGAGCTCATAATTTTTCTTACAAACATCTGTTTACAAAGTGGCATACATCTAAATGATTGTGGTTTAATTCTCTAAAAATTTGTATTTATAACTTGGTTTGTATTTTTGGGTCGATTTTTCGTCATTTTAATGGTGTTACCCCTTTTCATATTTTAAAAATATGCCTTTGGAGAAAAGTGGCCAAAAAGTGGACTTTTGAGCTCATTACTTTTCTTACAAACAAAGTGGCATACATCTAAATTATTGTGGTTTAATTCTCAAAAAAATTGCGTTTAAGTCTTGGTTTGTATTTTTGTGTCATTTTTATATCGTTGTAATATCAGTCAAGTGTTTGCAACACTGTGAAGGGCTCTTCTTCGGCCCTCAAAGTGTATATATGTATTAGAGTATTTATTATTTTTTACAGCACCGGCAAACTTCGATTTTCTTTGTTTGTACTATAGCAATATAAATTTCATATGCGGTTAAATGAGAGCTAATGAGCATCGGTCTTCTTAAACATAATTTTAGTCCCCAATTATATTTTCATACACTTATACCCTATTTTCCCCAGTGCATTGACTACTCACCGCTGCCGCTGTCGTAGGATCTGGTGGTGGAGCCACTGGTATTGGAGCGCTTTATCTCGCGTCGACCCATTTTGTTTGCGGTTGGCTGATGGTCCTCCGGGTCTTGATGCTGGTGTTTCTGGCTTTGGGTTTGGCTCTGGCTCTGGTGCTGGTGCTGGTTCTGATTCAGGTGCTGCTGATGTCGGGGGGAATCGGATTCGAAATCGAAATCGAAATCGGTATCTCTGGACACGTGGCACGTGGCAAGGAGCGCACAGGCGGTGGAGGCGGCCGCTTTGGCAACAGCCGTACTATACTGTCCGCCGTGGACTGTGGTGCCGGATGGGAGTTGGTGGAGCTGCTGCGATTGCGAGCGGGAATGGGAGTTCAGCGAAGGTGTGGAGATTGCAGTGCGACCGCTGTGGTGGTGCAACAACGCCTGGCCAGGAGCGGTGGGCGGGTACTCGAAGTAATGGGCCTGCAGCTGATTGCCGAGCAAATTGATGGCCGGTTTGGTGGCCAAGCCGCTCGAGTTTTCCGCGTGGCTGGTGTGACTGCTGCTGCTGCTGCGCCTGTGCTGGTGGTTCTGGTACTGCGGATGCGGATGCGGATGCGGATGCGTATGGTGCTGCAGCGGATGGTGGTGCGGTTGCGGATGCGGATGCGGATACGGATGCTGGGTGTGGGGCGGAGTGGTGGTGCTGCTGCTGCTGGCGGGGTTCACTTGGTGCGGCGTGGGCGGCGGCGGGGGGCAGGCGTTGTTGATGCTGCTGCTGCTGGCGGAGGATGATTTGCGCAGTGATGATGGTCTCAACCCTTTGACAGGGTACAATGGGTACTATCGTCCGGCAACGCGTACCCAATCGCGGTGGTCACTGTTGTACCAAATACCTAAAAATAAATTAAAAAGAAATAATATTTATTCATACAAAATATTTATTGCGAATGCTCAAACCTAATAAATGTTCTTCACAAAAGCAAAATAGAATGTACTTCGTTTAAGGGCTCCAATTGTAACCAGTTTATATTGCAAACACTCAGTTTTTCTTTCGACAACTCTCTATCAACAAATGCTAAAAATCCAAGTATCTAGAGTGCTTTGATCTACTGTCAACTCCAACCCTTGGGTCTACAAGCCTCAAATGTTTAGTCAAATCTAAGCGTTCAAACATAGCACAAGCCATACAAAAGTAAACATACAATCAAAATTTAGCAAAACGTATTTTTTTCGAGATGTACGTTAAAGTAAAACTGTGTAGCAATGACAAACAAAATGAGGTGGGTCAGAAAAATAAGATAAATTTTTTTTTAGTTTGCATAAACCCAATCTATTGACTATACTCTACAGGAACCTGAAATATTTAAAATAAGAGACAATGCTACGGTTCAAGAGCTGAAGGAAAAACTAGAAGTATTATTCGGAAATTCATTGGGCATGTTAAATATTCGAAGCATTTTCCGGACACTGGACAATGCCGACGGTCTGTCGTCTATTCTGCGCTTAAAGAAGCCTAACGAGTCGGCTACTGATATTCCCGGATGTGCGTTTTCTCTTCTTTCCGGTAAAAAGATTGTAGCGCTTTTAAAATTTTATTCATACGCTGAAGCTGACGAGGTTCACAAGGATTCCGTCAATCTGCCATCGAAGGCCTTGCTTTTGCCCGTCGATATACAGGCACCAAGCGACTCAAATTCTAGCGTCTCTGAAAATAGTTCCATTTCAAACAAACTCGAGGAAAAAAGCGCAAATTTCAATAAAGTAGAAAAAAGGTGAGTAAAATTGAGGGGGCTATTGGGTTTATTTATCTTGCCAATTTAATTAATATTAATTGTTATCTATTCCCTATTCTTTTTCCTTAGTATTTGTCCGTTAAAGTTGGCGGACAAGTCTGTAGGTCAGAACACAATGCTTTCTGGCAACCAGGCAGGAAGGAGCATTTCAATTTTCCGTTCGAAGATGCACAATATGGCGCGATACTGTAAAAAGGAACATAATTCGGATAAGGAGGCAGAGGACGACTTTGATTATGACGAAGAACCCAATCCGATGTGCAAGGACAAGAAGCGAGATTGCTGTGTTCAGAACAAGTGCGGTAAGCCCGACCCTCGACCCCCATACGCCCGTACGATGCCGGAGAACCGTCAATATGGTTTGGTGCTTAGCAACGATGATCCCTGTGAGGACGTCGATATGGAGAAAATAATGGTCCAGCTGTTCTCCATATTCGAGAACTGCGAAGTGCAGGATTTGTACTTTTCAGACTGCACATCCACGGCCAAGTTTTGCCGTAATCTTCTGATGGTCACCGAAGACGACGATACCGCTGATTGGGTTATTAGGGCCATTGAAGGTGTTTGCCCTCCACACTCCTGTGAGCGCTTTATTGATTTCTTCCATCTGATACATTGCACTTTCGTACTTCCCCTAATTGTGCCTGGAAAGGCATTGTGCTCTATATTTGACCTGTTGGAACTGCAGAACTGTGGATTGGTTACTGACAAGTGGACTGTAGTATGTCGCCGGACCCTGGATCCATGTGACCCTGACTACCATTCAAAAGCTGTCAGTGAAATTTGCGAGAATGAGGAGTTCGAAATGTACATAGACGAAGAGAGTCGCGAGCTAATCGAGAGCCAGTGCTCGAAACTGAAGTATTGTTTTTGGCGTTTAAAGTTTGTCTTTGATTGTTAACCATCTAAATTTGTAGTCACTTTTCGATAAACACAAATGTACCAACCAAACCAAACACAAATTAACTAATTAAGATCAAAATTTTTCTAAGACCCTTGGGATTTTATACAAAAATATGAATACCTTTTTGAATACAATTATAAAATAAAAATCAGAGTAAGCCACAAAGTGGCTGTGAAAACTAAATCAGTTTAACCCGTTCATCATTCTCATTTTTTTTAGCGGAACAATACCCGAACTCGTGGAAAAGTTTTCTGCGTGTAATCGTTATTGTGGCCCATCGATAAGCGGACATTAACTGCATGCTCACACACACACACACGCACACGGATTGGGGCCAAAGTGCACTTAAAGCCAACTCCAGTGGCGACGCGTGTCCTGCATGACAACGCAGATTGCGCATACGCCCCGTTAATGTCCGCCATTAGCAACGCCATTTGGGACAGCACGGCCATCGTCGGCGTCAATTTTGGCAAATATTTGGCACATGAAATCATTGTGCGCTAATAAAATTTGACGCCCCTTGGGCGGTTCATTGATTTCCTGTAAAATGCCAGACCACAAAAACTGACCACACACTCGCCGGACTTCGCCGCCCATCTAAAACAGCCGCATAGTAATCGCCTCTAATGGTTTGGCATTAAGATTCACAGAGAAAGACCATTAATATCTATGTTCGGCTTGTAAGTGCCAAGGATTAGTCGAGGCTTGGCAATCAAAATTGATTAAATCGACGGAAACAATTGAAAATTTAATGAGGGAAATCATATAGAAGCGAGTTTTCTTCCGAGAAAAACTAATTAGGCTATGATAGTAAAGATAGTAAATCAGTTTCTTTGCAGGGTAGGAAAATAATATTTATTCTCAGAAGTGCATATTACATTAAATGTCTTCGAAGAAACGCTTTTACTACGCAAAAATCGAACCTGACAAATCATCGAGCAGTCAATGCAATAAAACCATGACTTCAGCAATAGAATCAATGCATATTGAATTAGGTGCAGCAGTTGGCGAGTCATCCGCCGTTGCCTGGCGACAGTTCAACAGGTTGTGGCAAGTTGTTGAAGGTAAAATCAATTGATTAACTGGGAGAGCAACAAATCGAGTCAGCGACGGTTCATGTGGGGGCATGCAAATGAAATTGCAACTGCATTGGTGCGAGACACTATTAGATTATGGCCAGCCTGCGAGTCGCAGGTGGCAAATCAGCACACAGCAAATAAGGCAGATGCTCACTCAAAGGCGGACTTACCCGACCCGACCCGACCCGACCCCAGTGAAACGCAATTTAATTTAATGGGATTCCTCGGAAAGGAGTCTCCTCCTGGTCAGCACCAGCTGGCTGGTCCATGTCAGTGTTTGTCACCCACACAAAGCAGGTCCTTGGGCCACAATTGCTGTCCTTTGGCTGCTCACTCTCCGCTTTGGCTGCTTTTTTGGCAGTCCTTTGCTTATTTTCTTGGCCTTAATTTCGGTTTCAAAAATTACCAAATTGGAAAAGTATTAAAGCTCTTGTTGACCTTTTAAAACTGACCTTTAAAATGTTGTATAACTAAATGTTTGAAATATCAATCGCCAGCTAAGCAACTAGGTTTGGTAGGTATAACTTTCAGTGATTAAGCCTTATTTAGTGCATCTCTCCTTTGAATTGACATAGTCTTTTGATCGTAACCTATTCAAAAGTAGAAATGAAGATTTAAATATCCCATACAAAATGTTTAATATATTAAGTCATAAGCATATTATTTGGGATTACATTCCCAATTATTTATTCCGCTGAAGAGACAGGAAAGAAGAGCTGCAGTGGTTCGGTTTTCGGGAGCGGGCTCCTTCTTCCACATGTTGCGTGTAATCGGCCTCGATGCGAATTACCATAATACGACACCAGAAAAGGACAAGATAAAAGGCAGCCAGCACAGAGATACACTCGCACACACGTGCAGGCGGATATCCATGCCGGTTTGAATGAATCTCGGTTTGCGCTTGGCCAACTGAAGCGTAGACAAGGAGCCGTTCTGTTCGAGTTTTTTCCCTGCCACCCGACCTTTTTCTGGGGGGAGGAGGGGGAAGGAGGTACGGATTAAGGCGTCAAATTGTTAGACAAGTTCTTGGCCCCTCGTTTTTGTTCGGGCGTGGATAGATCAAAGCCCCGCTGCATATACTATATGCATACACACTCGGATATGTAAGTCCTTCGGCGAGTACGTGTGTGTATTGTGCAGCGACGTGGCTTAAGCCCACATTCCCTGACAATGCCTTTTAATCAATTCCCCGCTTCGCTCCATCAATAAGTGAAAGGCGCCACGGAAAATGTGAGTTTCCTTTCGGGCTGTCGGCGCGTGCTTTCCTTTTATTTTTTTGCCATTCGGCATTTTTCCTTTTGCGTCTCGCATATGTCAATTTTTCTAATGAGTTGGCAGAAATAAATAAATAAAGCTCGGACCATTTTCTGCCTTAAATTTAAAAGGCCGTTTAAGGTTGTGATTTTCCCATTATTGGAAACATAATAAATAACGCACCGAACTATAGCTGCATTTCATTTTTAAGCAGATTTATTATTAATAAGGCCCTGACATATGTACATACAAATTGTTCAATCAGAAATTAATCAATGAAACTCATTTATTGTTTATTTTTGTATATTATATGTAGTTGGCAGGAATTTGAATACAGCTTAAGCAGTTTTAATGCTCCCATTTATAAAGTTATTTCCACAATAGTGCTAAGCAATTTTCCTAATGAGTTGGCAGAAATAAATAAATAAAGCTGCATTCAAAATTTAAAGCTCGTCTAATTCCGAGCGGGGGCCTCTCACTTATGGGGCGCACTGTACGCCTGGCTGACCACAGGACACACCCCCCCACCCCCACACCGACACTCACACCATGAAAACCAGGTTTGTTGCTGTGCATTAAATTTGATGGCTGCAAGTCCTCAGCTCATAATCACAGGCAGACGCCCACCTGCGAAAATGGAATTTAATTTGCTAATACGCTTCGTTGGGTGCCGACGGGGGGTGGGTGGGGTGGTAGACTGGATTTGGGCCAACTGAATTGAAGGTAGTCAGGTGAGACAGGCTGCCTATGATGGGTTTTTTTGGGGCTAACAATTTTTTTTTGTTTTTGTTAAGCCTGCGGCAGAAATTGTTGGAAATACTTCGCAAATCGTTTCTCCAGCCCTTGGCCATGGCCCAGACTTCAGTCATTCTCGGCTAAAACTTGGCTTTTACATAGTTCAGCTCACATAGTTAAGCCAATGTAAACTTTTTTAATTTGCAATAATAATAAAAAATTCCGTTTTCGGCTGAGACACAGGCAGCCAAAGAATTTGGAAAGCCACGTCCATGTCCCGGCACCGAATAATTCAACAAGTTTTATGCGCCTCGCCTCCATCGCCATCATCGTCATCATCGCCATCAGGATGTCCTCGTCCTTGCCACATCGCTTCAAAAATATTTGTGGTGGCTGTTTGTGTTCTACGGCATCTCGCACACACATGAGACAGGTCGCAGCAGGTGGCATCCTGTGGATCGGGAAGAAGGATATGGAAAGGGCAGCCCAATCCCCGACCAGTCGCACTCTTTAAAAACCCCCTTTTGATTTATGCGCCCGTGAGGCGAGGTATGCTGGCTGGGATGTTCAAACACCTGTTCAAAATTTATTAGACTCTAAGCGAACTATCGGTAATATTCAACGAACTGCGAGGCGACAGTCTGATGCTGATGATGATGTATTCACTGGCAGTGGAACCGGCAATTGGCGATAGCGGAATCAAATCAATAATAACACGAACTCAACCAACTGCAAGTCAGAGCCAGCCGTCTGTGCCAATTGCGATGAAATCGGAATGGAAATGGCAATGGGAATGGCAATGGGAATGGCAAACTTAACTGCGGGCTAAACAAATAGTTGCATCGCCAAAGCCAGGAGCTTGACCCGGGATCACGGAATAATCCGGCAAGCGTTTTCGACTGTTCCACGAATCGCGAGCCTCTGCTGGAGGCAATCAAGGGGGCTTGGGTTTGACTTTCCCGTAAAACCTTAAACCGACGACAGCCTCTGAACATGGGCGTGCCAAGGAGGGGGTCCAATAAAGTGCATCTAAGCAAGGCTGGCTCAAATACTCCAACTACGTTTGAGAAAAGTTCGCATCTTGTCTAATGTATTTCCGGAATTTCTTATTCCATTTAGTCTACGTCACTACCAGATAAACAAAGGACCTGCTTATAGATTACGCCACTGCGGAAAATAAGTTAAGTGGAACTCAAAGGGAAATTAAATTATATTTAATCGAATAAATTATAGTTGCAAAATAACTTTGACATGACATGACATGATTTTAAGTTCGTTTTTAAGGGTATTAAGTACATAAATTTGGTAAATGGAGATACATATAATTAAAAAATAAATATTTTTACTGTTTAAACTAATTTTTTAATTAATAAATGTCCAGGTAATTTTAAAACAAAGTTTATCTTAAGAAATAAAAAATGAAGGTTTTGAAATGAAATTTTTGGTTAGAAAATGGTTTGTTAAAAAGGGTTTTGATATTTTTTGGTTAGAAGAAAGAAGAGTTTTAGAGCTGGTTTTAAATTGGAAAATTTATGTCTGGGACATCACGGCTTATATATTAATTTAATTAGCTTAAATCTTATATTTTACTATAGCTTTTTTCCCAGTGCACATGCCGATGCTGTTGTCGTTGTCGCCGCTGTCAGTGGTTCTCTCGTTTACCCCAAAATCGATTACGACCCGGCAAAGGGATAACTCCAGGCGGTGGATGAGAGAGGAGGAGGCGGAGGAGGCGAAACGCCAACATGGCAGAGACATTAAAGCAAGACGAGGGCCAAAACGATGCCGGGACACTGAGCGAAAGTGGCAACATGTGGTTAGACGAGAACAGGGCAAACGGGGCTAAGGCGGAGCGGCATTTAGCCCTAAGCGGCGGTATTTTTTCCCTATTGACGGTATCATTTTGAAGCCGCACAAAGGACCTCTTGATTGAATGAGTGTCCGTGCATGGGCACCTGGCGCCGTGCTGATAAGCGGCTGTTTCGACACGCGTCTGCCCACCACCTTCCCCATCACCATTTTTTCTCCATTTTCCGCACCTGGAAAACCGTTGCCTTTTTATGCACCTGCGGCCACTGACAACTGCATCTGCGGATGCTCGTGGGTCGGCGGGTG